CTTAACACAATAACCTAGTTTCTTCCAACTCGGCTGTTTCCAATGTTCAGTGATCGTTGACCGAATGCTGACGGTGATTCTGTCTTGCTGTTTGCCCGATGTACTATGTGAGGCATCCGAATGCTGACGGTGATTCTGTCTTGCTTGCCCGATGTACTATGTGAGGCGTTCTGCAAAACTGAGTTGACGAGAATGTATTGCGATGCCGCCGTTCGCCAAAATTGTTTTGTCTGGTGAGACATCTTTCAACGTCCCTAATAGTGTGTGTAATATTTTGGTGACTAAGAAGACCAGTTTTGTAGACCTTGGAAACGATTTGGTATATTGGCCATCAGCACGTTCATAGAGCCCAAGGAGTAATCAGAGTTGCATCCCAATTTTCGTGAACATTTATTCACATCCACGCTCTGATTTGATTGCGCGAGTCTTTATGTGGGTTACCAGTGGTGGTCGAACTATTGCGTTCGCTACTCCTGCCAGATGTAATTTTTCAGTTATTGTTCACAATTTTTTCTAATATTCGTGGCACCTGGGTTTTGAAATCCCAATTCATCTTACCTCGTTTTTATCCACTTTGCCATGCCATCAAAACTGTGTGAGTTCGTATCATCAGTATTGAACACTGATATCGTGTTGTCAATGATGTTGATGATGATGATTCCTGTCGGTGCTCAATTTTTTACTAAAATTACTTCCAAAAAAACAGGAAAGAAAGCATTTTTCAAGCCGATGAGCACATTACAAAACACCTGTGTCATTCCCCCATTGAGCTCCTTTGTTGTGGTGTACCGTAAACCATTTTATCTCTGCAAATTTCAACGTCTTAAAGTCATCCTGTCAACCTGCATTCAACAATTCAGCGGTTCAATAAACAAGTTACCATTCACTTTCTGCACTGTTCTCACCCTACATACGGTTCGTGAACAGCGTGATCCTGTGCATCTCTTGGAGTTATTTTCGTGGTTTTTGCTTTTGTTTGTCTTGGCACATGCTGACAGCTAAATCTCCAGAAGACTAAAACATCTAACTCATCTACTTCGTTTATCTTATTTATTTAAAGCTGTTGTTATGAACCTCCTGTTTGTCAGTCATTAATATATTGATCACCGCGTGATGCAAAAGCATACAGCCCTGTGTCCGGTAAAACTAAAAAATAGATATTCTTGTCTTTTAGAAACCCGACGTTCCGGTCACGTATTTGCGACAGGCTGATTTCCTCGCAGTATGAGGACCAAAACGATGAGTATACAGGCGCGTTATGTACACACATAAGTACTTCACCGGAGAACCAGTGTTTTCCAAAAATAAAGATTGTCTTCAAGAGGGAGCAACTTCATTTTTTCTTTAGATTTATCGTTTTCAATTTATTTGGCGTTTCTGGTCAAACAAAGGGTTGATCAAACCACAGTCTTGTTCCGGTTTACTTGGTGTACCGATTATTAGGAAATTTAAATTCTTCACCCTAACTTGCTCTTCATACTCAAAACTACGACACAGAAGGTAGATAATTCCTCATCTATGTTGATCTCCTGACGCTTTGAATGGTATCCTGGATATGTAAGTTCAAGACTGAGGAGTTGGTCTGTGAGGGTATATGAAGCGCGAAATGGAGTGCATAAAATTCAGCTTGTTGACAGTCCTGCAGAGGAATGAATAGAAGCAGGTGGCATTTCAGCTTCCCAAATACGATGGGATGGATTACATATTGAAGTAAAATGTCATGCACAACGAATATTCTGGAAGATGGCAATGATGGCTGCTCAAACACAACATCAGAAGAATAGCTTGAAGTATTATTAGATAAGGTAACTTGAGGGTATGGCTGGCCAGTGTACAAGTGCAGCACAATCAAACGTCACCTCCAGCTATGAAAGATTTTATCAGCGTATTGTTAGTGTAAGGGGATTTCATGATTTCCAATCGCGATTTTGTTCTCGAAGTTAAGAGAATTTATGTTGTAGGTTGTTGAGAATCATCAAAAGTGCGTATCTCACGAAATCCAGGATGTTTCAAATGCGCGAGTCGCGCAACTAGAGATGATTCCCAATAAGGATGAAACAGCTGAAAAGTGCTCCTTGGCTAGCCAACACGAACTGACTTCACTTGCAGGACGAAATCTCCGTTGATTATTTGGTTTTCATTTGTTATTCTAGTGTGTCCTCAACAATTAATACCCCCCAATAGGCTGTACCTACATCAGCGCGACGATTTGGCTGGCACTGCGTTTAGTTAAAATTATTTACTTTTTGACGATGGAAAGGACAGCCTCGATGAATTAAATTAACAAAAATGAAAGCCTTTAAATCAGTTGGAAAATTTTTGGGACCAATTGGATAGTAATCGTTTCAGAGACTGACGCAAGACTGACCGAGTCGACTAGGCATAAGAAATCTCATGGGTTGGTTCCCTTACTGCCTTAAAACCCAATCAACCTGCTTACTTACTCAGTTGGCCCTACAAAGCTTTTGTTCCAAAAGTGAAACCTTGCCCAACAATAAATCCACCGATTGTTTACCACACCTCTGTGAAAAAATGAAAGCTTCTTATGTTATCAGACTAAAACCGCCTGCCAGTCCTCATGTTGGGAGAGTAATATGGGCCATTCTCGACCATAGTTTATTATTCTTACTGGATGAATACGAAGACAGCACCACGGAAATATAAATATCACAGTTTTTATTCGAATTTCGGGTGCTAAACGTGGAACGGTGAGCAAATAAACGCACAAAAACTCGCCACTACTACTTGAATATAACTCCATAGCAAATTTTACTTGGTCATGTTTAGGAGAGTGGCAAATGTGGATACTATCCAATCCAACCCAGGTAATCGGGAATAACAGTCAAAAACAGATGTTTGCTACGTTGTACAAAATGATCTCAGTCAGGATATGTAACAGCATAGGGTTTCGTGCGTATCATACAGGTTGATGAAGCCACCCAAAGGTATTTAACCGGCTGGAACCATATGAAGGATAGAGTAAACGATACTACTATAAATACTCACTTTCTGAAACAGCAATATTCCCCCCAAAACAGATGAATAGTCTGAAACATTTATATCTTTGTAATGTATACTCATAAGTGAATAGTCTGAAACATTTATATCTTTGTAATGTACTACTCATAAGGTTGCTGAAAATCCGTCGACAGCTCACGACCGGTTTCACCCTTTATGGGATTCATCTGAAACATTCAGCCTGAAATATTCATACGCGACGATCAAATATACACAACGCAAGCTTGTCCAAAGGCCCATTTCTTAACCGCAACAAACAGAATAAAGTGTCTAATCGTATGTAACTTCGTGCAACCAAAATTCAAGCGGTCCTGAAGACCTCTACTTCAAGCCCCGGTAAAGCTCCTCATTAAAAAATATATTTTGTTTGTTTTCACGAACCACCCGTGAAATGAACCTTGATCCGAAAAACACTCATTAAGGTGTCACGGGTGTTACCTCCAGACTTCTCGGTGAAAAGGGAGATTCAGTTCGAATAATGTGTGAACCAAGACTGTGTAGTGTGGCCAACGGCTAAATTTCAGACATTGAATTATCCATAGAATGGATATAGAGATCGTAACTCAACACCGATCGTACCAATGAACTCTACCACGGAGATTTTGGTTAGATGCAGTATTCATGCCGCAAACCTAATTTGTATAAATCAATATGGTTGTAATCCGTATAATAAGCACCAAAGAGTGTAAATTGTTTTACTGTAGGTAGGAGCAGCGCGATGAGAGCAACGTTCTAGAATTTCAATTTCCTTTGTAAGACCTTCATGTAGGATCACCGCATCAGTGTCAGATAATACGTGAGATTTGGAGAAAAACCCCAGGAATATTCACTTCTGCTTGGTTCCTTGAAGTGATTTCCATAGAGGTAAACAACTGTGACACAATTTGCTGCTCATGTACAAGACAGGCGAACAAGTGTTAAACGATGACAAATTATTGACTAAACTCGTTTAAACTGCTGTACAGAGGGTTCTGCGCTGAGAAGTGATGTTGTTTGCTTCATGGACCATCACGTTTGAGCGGCTTAAAAAACGGTGTTTTTCATTGCAAAGGACATGGTGCGCAAAACCTACATAAGAGAGGTTACCTGAAGAAAGGGCTACCTGAAAAAAATCGACCGGTGAACAATCCACTGTTCAGACACTTTAAAATTTAGATTGGTGCCGTCGCTACCCCCTATTCTACTTGAGGTTTAAAGAGTTCCTGGTCTTTTACTAACACTAGTGTCATTTATAAGCTGTGAAAAGTATTCCGTTTGAAATAAAAATTCTCTGTTGTTCAAGTATACTCGAGTCAGTTTGAGTTGACTAAAGCTCAAGGAAGTTGATGCTGTAAAACATAGAGTCACAAATTGTTAAATTTCATTTTCTTCTGCCTGCTCTCTGAGAACTTAGCCACGAACTTACCCCTGGAATTCCTTGGGTCATGATTCACTCTTATAAACAATTGCGCTGATCACCAAAGTTTGAATGGTACCGTGCACTGTTGTGTGCAACCACATTTAGAATGTTGGATTGTAAACACCAAATGAACACTAAACGAGGCGCAACAAGTTAATGAATTTACAACTTAATCGTGCTCTGCGGGTGACCTCATATGATACTCTCGTACCTTGGTTGTCTATCCTTTGAACCCCTTTCCCCCTGCGCCTGCGTTTTAAGGGTCTCTGACTGAACATCCATCACCTTGTGAAAAACGAAACGGATCAATCCGTTCGTGATGTTCAGCACCTGAGAGAAGAGTACGCCTCCGAAACTTATCAGCAGCCAGTATAATAGCAACAAACGGATAAACAGAATTCAATCTTGCAAGGTGCAATAGAGCTTTTGTACGTTTCAAGCTCATCTTTCTTACAGCAGTCCAGCTTGTCGAAATCACCTTCGAAAGACTAAACTACTGATGTCTTTATTCCCATATTTCAGATCATACTTTTCTTTATCCATATTATTAATATGAAAAGACTTTTGACAGAGCAAAACTTACGTGGATGGATAGCTTCATGGCGCAACTGCTCCGTTTCTATCAAACAAACCGGGAATAGGAGGATATATACAATCACGACGTAGAGAACCGATGAAAACGGGCGAAACTTGTCAGCCAGTTTGCGGTAAAATGTTCCTCTCCTCCTCTTCAATATCAGTTTGTTGAGTTCTTCATCTTCAAAAGACCCAGCACGCGTGGACTTCTGTCCCGCAGGATGATCCAAAGAATTGCCAGCAGAACCAGAGACGGAGGACTTCCACGCACCCTGAAGTGGTTCACATGAGGACAGACATTTGTGCAAATGCATTACATCCCGACCAAGGATGACCGAATCATTAGCCAAGTGACCAGTGCGGCTGGTCGTGGCATAAACCAGCACCGGTAGTAGGCTCAGGGCGATAATCATTGCAGAAAGTTGAACGTTCAGGGTGAAGATATCATTCCAACCACCACCGAAACGGGGATGGTAGGCTTGAGCTTTGACCTCTCCATATCTCCAAATTGCATTAACTATGAGCCACAGGACTGTCCCTGTGGTGAACAGTGCGTGCCACACATCAAACAGACTTGTACAGTTAGTTCCAAGACCTGTTCTTGTCAGCCATCTGTTAGTGCACGTTGACTTTGGGCTGGGAAGTGTTGCCCAAAGCTGTCGACGTGAGGTGTAAAAAGCAGGATGTCTGGGGCTGTTAGACATTTTGCACAAGGTTTAAAAAATCATCGAATCCCAATGGAGGACACGATTAGTCCCACTGATTGCGTGAACAATCGCATCCCCTCGAAAATCAACGTAAACTACATGCGTTGGCTACAATTTCTAATAGCCCGGCATTCTTCTCGTGTATATGTTTACTTGTCATGTAGTCGGGCGTGCAAACAGCTGCTTGACCCTCGGTCCATTCAGCCAATCGGATTCACTTATTTGACTGAGTCACAATTGCTCGTGCCCTGATTGGCCACAACGCTGCTGCTGATTTTGCCCGGCATCTAGCCAACCATGATCAGCGACCGGCGTTCTAACATAATGCCAGTTAACAAATGAACATAACGCAGAGTAGGCGTTGGCTGGAGGTACTGCCAATTTTAATGCGAGCAGTAGGGGGACAGACATCAAAGTTGTGTGGACATTAAATAATCAACATCAGCCCAAAGTTACCTTGGCAATGCGTTGTTGTTAGTTACGCGAACCAGTGAGTTAAAAACGAAGGGGTGAAAAGGTTAGGTAGACCTAACGATTTACAAATCTTCCGAAAAGGCTGCCCATTTGACCAGGGCTAATGCTGTCCGACACCCGAAAATAAAACAGAAACCCCATAATCGATGCGGCAGTTGATTGGAAAATCGATATGGTCTTCTAAACACATGGAAACCCCGAAAATTCAGATCAGCTGGAAGTCCTTCAATAGGCGTCAGTAGCGAGTGACTCATCTGCTTATGTTTGCACATATTCCCATCAAATTAAAAGGCTTCTACGTGGCATCAGTAACCTGGATTACCTCGACAAGTATATTTTACGAATTCGGCTATTAGGGGCACCAAAATGAAAAATTTACCTTCAAATTTTTTCACAGAGTACTTGTACCAACTCGCCGTTCGTACACTGTATGATTGGAGACACGTTACGTTATTTTTCACAAACCTAGCGATTTAATTTAAAATCCCTCTGGATGATTTTTAGAAAACTTTCTGTTTCCCAAGAGTATAAGAATGGTTCATGTAAGCATAATAGGGTTAACCGAGTGATTATAAAATCCCGGTCAAATTGTGGAACAGTATGTTCACTCTTCGGAATCGAGTGAACATAAACAGGAGGAAATATTTTTTGTCGTTTGACTTTGTCGACAATGTGTAATATTGAAAATGTCATTGCATTTTGATCGTTATGTAAGGACTCCCCTGCCTAATGTGAAGATACTTTGTTATACTGCGTGATTACAATGAGCATTGGTAGTTATTCGACAGAAATTTGAAAAAAAAAGACTGAATACGTCGGGCAACTGCCAAAGCAATACTTGATGAGAATGTAATGCGGAGAATTAAACTGGAATAATATGGAAGCAAAGGCGAAATATTGGTAGACCTACCCTCTCATTCCTTTGATAACCATCTCTGGGCGCCTATTTTATGGTTAGAACAGCTTATGCACACAGAATATTCTAACTTTCCGTAACGGGATTTCTACGGATCTCGTTTCAGACTGCATGCAGTTTTGATAAACATTTGCCTCTTTGAAATAAACTCGGCTTTTTGATCGACGCTCAATCTGCCGTGAATCTTCTAACCCAAAACAATCACTGGCAAAATGTAATACGACCGTTCAAAGAGACTTTTCCGTGTCAGGTTCAAATCCCGAATGAGTTTTGGAGAATGCCACTCCAAAGGCCCACTGGGTTTCCTGTTTTATGAGACCCGCATGCGTAATCGAATGAATGTCTGAACTATTCGGTCATATCAGCTGGCACTTTTCATAACTTCAAAATCATTTCTGATTTGCAGGTTTTCGCTTACACAAATTTTAGTATTGCATAATTTTAGTGGAATTGGTATTAATAGTTCTATGCGGGCTAGTCTGATGGGACATTTGCAAAAAAATTTTGATTCTTTTGATCCAGTTCGTCAAGTGACCAAGCTAAGAGCAAGCAGAACATCGGGTTGACAGAAACTCGGGGAGTGCGCCCACCTGATGAGCCCCAAGAAGGGCGAAACCGGTCGTGGGCTGTCGAAGAGTTTTCAGCGACCTTGTGAGTAGTTTCCCCTATGTAAGCTAAGATCTATTTTTGTCTTAATTTCATTCAGCAAGGAAGTTTCGGTAGCCTGTTATTTCACGGTTAGATATTTCGGCTCTTGCGCGACGTCCATCATGCCTTTGGCCCTCACTAGACAACCAGCATTCATCTATAGTTCAGGTAGTTAACTTGAATACCCTCACTCTAGTGTGCAGCTTTATCAGGCATGTCGAAGACCTAAAATTGTCTGTGATCAACAGCTGCGAGCTTGTCTCAGCAGTTCCGGGGGTCAGATGGATTAGATCAGTCATGAACAGGCCACAACCGTGGTTTCCACTTCTACTGTTTACGTTGCGTAAAGATCGAAGATAGAAAATCAGATTGGGCCCAGCCGTCCCGATGTACTTAGTAAGGTGTTTCACGGATACCACAAACTTCTGACAGTATGCTCGCTGTGATGTCTCCAGTAGCTGATGCATTTCGCACACTGTATGAGCGGTCGGTCTGACAAGACTACCACCTAGTTTACCCAGTAACCAAATTCAATTTCCCGTTGTACGTTGGGATGTGAGAATCCTAATGAAGCTGGCAACCAAATGGCCACAGTCACGGGCCACACCATATGGCGTTCAGCCACCTGTGTCACACCCACTCATCTGACAAGAGTGCGAGAAGCCTTGAATTTATTGAAAACCCAATGTAACTTTTGGATTGCAAAACTTTGGGAATTTAGGAAGCAAGGACTTTGCATTTTTGTTCTTACCCCAAATCGGTGAGGAGACAGTTACAGATTAATAGAAAACTTGTACAGCAGAACTTAGAATCTCACATTTCTAAGGCAGATCGGATGTAATGACCGAAACTGCTATTCGCGCCTGTTGTGCTTTCGGAATGCGCCACGAACTGTTGTTCTTGCGTGCAAAGCAAAGTGCTGTTTTTTATGGAGTCTTCGGGGCGAAATCTTTTTTTTGCTAGCGTTTGGACTGCATTCAGTGGCTCAAATGATCTATCCACACTCAACGCATCTACCATCAGAGTTGGCCCTAAGGAACACTGTGGAAACAAAGGCCACCGTACCGTGTTTTAGTCTACAGCCAGTACTTTATTGAGACCCTTGTTTTCGTTATCCTGGGAAGCACCAACCAATACGATACTAAGACGGCTAGAATACTGTAAACAATACAGGTGTGACCTTAGTAGAATCAACGCGGATGCTCCGAGGCCACGCATCGGAGTAGGAAGTGACAATATTGTGCTCGATCCCAAATCAAGCATATAAGCCTGCAGGGAACAAGACATTCTGTCAATTTGGATAACAGCGCGCAGTGTATTACGTGATAGTGTCAGTCTACTGTCACATTTCTCGAATGAACAAGTTTGCACAATTGCACTTTTGCGTTCAATGAAGTACGAATGACTTCTCTACGTTCCCCTGAACTTCTATTTGTGAGGATTGCGACAAGACATTCACTGACCATCTGAAGGCTGCAGATATGTTGGAGAGAGCGTTTACGGCTATTGCAGCAGTTTTTTCCAGTTTTTGACATTCTTTCTACCCTTGTCGCTCTTAAATAGTAGCGTATATGGAGTTTATGGACTACTTTCTGTGGAACCAGATGTGGAAAATTAAAATGTCGGGAGGATCGCCCTCATCCTGATCGGACCTGCGGCAGCGTCCCAAAGTCTCTGTTGGATGCATCACTCCTTACACGCGTAATGTGAACAGGCCTGGTGATTTTGGCAACATAAGCAATACCAAAGTTCTCGTAACCCTTCTCTACATACAACCATGCTCTTTGACTACCAGGAACTCCAAGTCAGCATACTTCCTCCCCTTCAGTCTCCCAATATTCTGCAAGATGAAGGGGTAGATAATTAAACTGCCATGAAACAGCTGAGCAACCTATGGCCAGAGGAAACTTGAATGGTTGAGCTTCTTCCAGCTTATTGTCTCGCTTCTTATTGACAAAAGTTATGCTGGTCTGAAGTCGGCTCCATCATTCGATTGTGAAGAATGTTGTAGGCCTAGAACATTGAAGGTTGCTCTATGAAGAGGCGTAAAACTCATAAAGGAAACTACTCACGAGGTTGCTGAAAACTTCTCGACAGCCCACGACCGGTTTCGCCCTACTTGGGCTCATCAGGTAGACGCAGTCCCCGAGTTTCCGTCAACCTTATGTTCTACTTGAACACAAATTGGACTGTTTCCGAGAAAACCAAGTTGATTTGTAAAAGGCCTAGAACTTTTTGTATACACAGTTAAACCTACAGTAATCTGGACCACTTCTCCTTATGCTAACCATCTCATCAATAAACCGACGTTCATGAATTAAACAGTCAGCAACCTGCAGGCTGGTGGAATACCAGATTCAGATTCAAGTTCTCCGATACTGATCGTTTAGCGGAGTAATTGAAGGCTTCTCCGAAATTTGCATGGCTGAAAAAACTCGAACCCCATTACAGCCGGTTCACTAGACTCGAAAAGAAGGATTCGCGAGATAACACATTTTTATTCGTCGTGGAAAGTCTTTCGAACTCACTATCAATTGCATTGCAAGAGCCAATGGGCCCCAAGGGAGAAGCTTTCAGAAGCAGCCTCTAAAAGTATCTACCTCTTATGCTACATAATCTGATATCGAAGGACGAGGCAAGATGAGTTGTGACATGGCTGAGTGATTAGAGCATGAATTTACTTACCGGAAGGTCCGTGATTCGTACCCGACCTCTGCCTGTCGACTTCCCCTGTCTAGGCTTGGGCAACCTGGCAGTATCCCAGACCTTGTGCTTCCCTCTGGTGACATGGCAGCTGAGCACCAAAAGAGTGCTACGGCCAAACGGGCAATGCCAGAATGTTGTGACATCTATAGGACAAACAAGTAAAGGTTCATAAACGTTTTTTGAACCACATTCATCATAAAGATTCTTAAATCTTTGCATTAGGCTGCTCGTGTTCTTTCAAGTTTGGGGGATG